AAATAGCTCAAACGGCTTCTGGCTCGGAGGAAAATAGCTCAAACGGCCGACTGCCTCTGGAATGGCATGGTCCTTGGGGAGGTGTGGCGTGCTCCAAGCAGCACCAGAACAATTTGCTCCCGCTCAACAAATGTTGCACATCCTAACCGACAGATAGCATTTCATCGGATCTGAACCAACGGTTTCTTTTAATTGCTAGGAAAACTGAGATCCCAGCCTGGGGCCCCTGGCCAGGCTGACCTGGACTGGGAAGTCACAAAACTGGGGAATCTGCTGTAAAAAAAAAAGGGCGACGCCTCAACTCTTGCCTTGTGCTGCAGCTTCCCAGAGACGTGGCTGCCCATTCTGGTAGCCCAGTACTGAACTGGATCAATTAATTTTACCCGGCAGGGCCCCGCGTGCATCTTCTCTGTTTCTTGAAGGAGAGCGTTGCCACATCGCTGCTCCCGTCTTCAGCAGGGCGGCTGGAATGTCACGGAAGGTCCATAAACATTTCAATAGGAAGCCGTGTTGGTGTGAGAGGGGAAGCATCACGGGGGACTTAGGAGTACGAGGGCAGTTTAATGAGGGAAAGCTAGTAAGAGACAGCAGCGCTGAAGGCCTGGAAGCCAAAAGGGCAGGGAAGCTAAACAAGCAGCGACGAATCTCCTATTTTAAATGTGTGGCTGCGAGGTGCCCAGTTCAAATAGCTTGTGGAAAATTGTAGCTTTGTTCATTCTCGGATCTGGCCCTGAGATCCACCCACAGATTGTTTCTTCCTTCCTTACTGGCAGTGCACGGTGGGTGGACTCCGTGGTCTCCTTGGTCCGACTGTCCAGTTACCTGTGGCGGCAGCACCCAGATCCGAACTCGGGCCTGCATCAACCCGCCACCACGCAACCACGGCTTGCCCTGTGCTGGCCCCGAGACCCAGAGCCAGAACTGCTCCACCCAGCCCTGCCCAGGTAAGGGCCCCACGGGTGGCCTGGAGCGCGGTTGCTATTTCTCCAGAGCATTTATCTCTGGCCCTCCCCCTGGCTGCATCCGTGTGCCCATTTAACTCGGTCAGTAGAAGACCTAGAGCCCCCTTTCGTCTGACATACTAAAGTTGGCCAGTGTTAACCAACTTCGTTTTGGCTTTTGCACAATTTCGCGTATGAGGGAGAACCAGCCCAGTTGGCTAGTTTGGGATTCACTATGTTGCGGGGACCCCCAAAATAGGCTGCTTCCGTCCCCAGGTTCTGTGCGAACGCTGCCATTGTGCTGGAGATGAGGCTGTCCAAGGACGGGGTACTCTGATTTTCTGCCTCAGGGACCCCCTAAAGTGATAAATGAATTTGCGTGATCACCTGCTAAATAAACGTTTTGATTCAACTGGTGTTAGTATTGGGCAAGAAATAAATGCATCACTTTAAACAACTCGGCCTTAGTCTCCGTATTGGAGAAGTTCTCAAACTCTGTGCGCAAATGTGCCTTGGGATTCTTCAGGCGAAATGAGGAGGAAAGTCCAGGTGAGTTTTGACAGCATTTGCACTTTGCAAGGGCAGGCCTAGTCAGGGTCAAAAAAGAATCTGCCCCTCGCCTTTAAGTGGCTCGCAGTCCCCCGGGGGGGTCCGGACCTAGAGTTGGACCACTCCAGCCCCGGGGGATTGCGGGCAGGCTGGCGAGGGCCGAGGAGGGAGTTAGCTACCTTCGGCCTTGGCAGCAGGGGCATCTGTGGGCGGAGAGCATATCTCAAAAGCGTCAAGATGTGTCTGCAACCATGTGATCAAGCCCCCGCCCCTTTGCATGCGCATCACGGGCGCCATCTTGACTTTTTTGACATATACACTGCGCAGATGTCCCTGGACACTAGAGTTGGTTCTGTCACTCTTGGGGCAACTGTTCAGGCCCCCTTATATGCACTCCAAGAACTTCTGAGGAGCGATATCTCCTGAAGAACATGAGGAGCCAGAAGCAAAGGCTTTCAGGCACAGCTGCTTGATTCAAGGACCGAAACCACATTCAGCCCTCCCGAATTTCGTTCTCCTTTCCTTGCTCGGCCCCATCTTTCGAGCAGGCGTTTTGGTACCCGTCAGAGCTGAGGTCGTCATGTTTTTCACTGACTATGTGAGAAATAACTCTCTCGTGTTCAGGGCCATCTTCCTTTGACCTTTTCCTTGTCCACGCTTCCCCTGAATCTGCCACAGAGAACACTTTTTTAATGCTTTGCGCTCCCTCGCAGGCCACACTCTTAAGCAGGCTAACAAAACCAGCTGCATTTGCAACCCCACTGAGTTGGGTTCCTCGTGATCTTGATTAGGTATTCTTTGGTGGTTTAGTACATGGGGTGAACCTGGCCCATTTTCTCAAGGTTTTGTGCAACCCAGCCATGGATGTCCAAGGGGCAGTGACTTTGTGTGCATCATCGGGGTTTTCAAACAGGCTGGGCTGTCATTTGTGGGGAGGGCCTAGTGAGTCCTGAGTGTGCAGGGGGCTGGACCGGATGACCTTCCACTCCAGGATTCTGTGAAGTGACACGAGTTCTGTACTTTGCGTCTTTCACGCTGTGTCTTCGTGGCACGCGAGGCTTGTACCAGCGGCCTGTTGATGTAGCCAGTGCAAACGCCAGTCATTTGATGCCAATCTCCTTTTGTGCCCTGCCCCATTTTCACACAGAAGACGAGCTCTGCCCCTGGTCCGCCTGGGGCCCGTGCTCGCAATCCTGCGGCACCGGATTGACCACACGTAGCAGGAGCTGTGTTTGCCCGACTCCTGCGAACGCTGACGGAGCGCCTTGCACCCAGGACAGCCACCCCCAGGAGATGGAGGCTTGCTACCTGCAGGCCTGCAGAGGTAGAGGAGAAGCATCTCTTGGGTGGGGTGGACTTGCCTGCAGGTGGGGATCCTAAGCTGCCCCTTTCTAAGGCTTCTGGCTGACACCAATCATCTGCAGCGACCTCCTCCAACCTCACGCCCTCCAAGTCTATAATCTGCCTGCCTGCCTGTCTATCCTCTCTCTCTGTCTGTCTATCTATCGTTTCCTAGAGGAAACGATTCCACAACACGTGGCCCCACCGATGTCCCCTCCTGTATGCCCAGCATCCTTACAGGGTCAAACGTACCAGACTGGTTGACTCAACCTAGGAAAGGTGGTCCTGCGGGCATCAAGGGGCCAAGCCACGTCAGGCTTTCGGTGTTAAAAGCAACCCCTTGAATCGCATTTGAAAGGCCCCTTGAAGCCCACGCAGTGCCCAGAATGTGGACGTTACAGGACCGCAGTGGCCGTCCTCCACAAGCAGGTGGCCAGCTGCGTTCTGCCCCCGTTGCGCTTTGCGAGTGCTCCTCAAAGGTAGCGCCAGGCGGAGTGCTACGAAGCAGGTGATGTGGGGATAAACTACCTCTGCCAAGTTCTCTCACGGCAGGTAGGGCCGGATGCCCTGCGCCAGCCAAAGTTGGGCTGCGACCTGGCCGTGGTGGCTACCTGCCCATCCAGCGGGAGCTGTGAGTCCTGGGGGACCTCCAACCCCCCAGCTCCGGGCCTGCTCTTCCAGGGGCAGGCCACTCCGCCAGACCAGGCAGAGCGTGCCCGGTGGTGATTCTGTCGTGGGTTTCAGTGCTTGCTTCCGAGGGTCTGAGCGCCTCGCCTTCACCAGTAACATAGAAGTAAAACCGTAACGATCATCCCAATTCCTGCCAAAGGTCATCCACCAAAGTGAGCAATGCCAGTTGGGCCCGGGCCTGACCCTAACGGAAAGGGGCCCAGACCATGCCCGTCCTCGACCACTCGGGAACCGATGAACCACCGCTGGCTGACCCCCCGCTCCTCCTGTCCAGCGCCCCCCTTGGGCCCAAGGTTTCTCACATGCAGCACCCCTTCCTTGCTCCGGGCCTCCCTCCCTGTGCTACCCTTCCCTCTTCTCCTTCGCTCCCAGGACAGCCTGCCCCCCCGCCATCCAGTCCCATTGAATTCTTCGTCTCCTTCTGGCCAAGCTGACCATCCCAGACGGAGCTGCTCCTTCTCTTTGCTTGCTGCCTTCCTTTCGGGGCAGTCTATAGTGGGGGTGGGAGGGTCGGACCCAAAAAAGTCAAGAGGGTGGCTGCGACCGCCTGCCCCTTCTCTACCCGGGTGGCAGATGTCATTACAAGTCTCACAGGGCCTCAGTGTGCAGACTCCCTGCTTCTGTTCTTTCCTCTTCCATCCACCAGAGCCTTCATTCGTCCGTCCGACCACCAGCTTTCTCGCTTGGTCCTCGGCCACACTCCATGGTCCCCCTCCATCTCCACCCAAAGACCCTCCCCTTCTCCCTCTTCCCGGGGACATCCAGCCCTCACTGCCACCATCAAAGAGCCACTCAGCCACGATGCAGGTCCCTTGGTCCGGCAGCACCAGGCTGTCCCGGTGCCATCCCTGCTGGCCGTGGGTCCTGGGAATTCAGTCTGAGACATGGGGGCGACCATGCTGGGACCACTTCTCAGGGCAAGCCCAGATCTTCCACGTTCTTCCAAGCTGAAGAGGGAGGCTTGCCAGCGATGACCTCTGCCGTGCAAGATCTTCCGTGCAAGATCTTCCACAGCTCATAATTTGAAATGGGCGGGCTGAGGAAGAAATGGGGGCACTCGAGGAACGCTCAGAGGCGCTCCTTCCGAGGCTCATCTTCCTCAAATTAAAGCCCATATTTCAGGCCCCCATCAGGCTTCCTTTAGTGGACTCAAAGCTCGTTGGGTCATTGCAGCAGCCTTGCAGCTGCATCGTTGGGGTTTTAACCCAGGATTTCAGGTTCCTTCCTTAACCGTTGCGTACCCCACTTGGCCCCAGCTCTCTGTGCAATGAACTCTTCGTGGAGCTGCATGGATCTTTTTTGCCCTTCCAAGCCCTTGGCTGCTCCGAGCACCCTGCTGCTTCCACCTCTTATGCAGCACCCACCCACCCCCGGTTGCTCACTCTGTGCCAATCCTCTGCTCTCCTGCAGATTGTCCCTGGAGCGCCTGGACGCCCTGGACGCACTGCTCGTGCAGCTTCCTGGTGCAGCAGCGATACCGGAACCAGCAGGGCTGGGATGCTGACCGGGACCCGTGCCTGGGGCTGGACGGGCAGTTCCGAATGTGCAATTATTCCCAGTGTTCAGGTGAGGCCGCACCAGGAGAACATCCTCTGTCCGCGAGTGGCAGGAAGCTTGCGGGCTCCTCAGTGGCCTCAGTGGTCTCCAGCCTGCGACGCCCTTGTCTCCCCACAGCTCTGCAGCCCAGAAACAGCCCTCTTGTTGCTGTATTCCTCCCAAACCTCGTAGATCTTAGGAACCCACCTTGCCTCCTGGTTGACGGCCCCACGTTTCCGAGGAGCAGTGTCCCTCAGGGCTGCCCCTGGAAGGTCCGAGCTCACGTGCTTCCCCCTCCCTTTTTCCAGAGTCCAGCTGTGACGCCCCCTTTGAGTTCCAGGGGTGCGGCTCCCCCTGCGACCGCCACTGCTCCACCCTGAAGCACCTGGAGCTGTGCCAGGACATTCCTCGCTGCCTGCCCGGTTGTTACTGCCCCCAGGTGAGCGAGGAGAGGCTGATGCGTGGAAGCCCCTGCTGCAACGGGCGAGGCGAGCTGGCTTGAGACCGCCTGCAGAGGGTTTCTGTATCTCCACAGGATAGGGGTGGGACGGTCCCCACTCTGCTCGCGCTCAGGGGTGCACTCTGGCTGAGCAATCATTCTGGGGGTACCTCCTGGATCTTGCAGAAGCCAGGATGGGCTCTGGTGCAACCTGCCCATCGTTAAGCTCCCTCCTAAGAGGGTTGAAACTCAGCCCCCACTGAGTGCTGGAGGTCACAGGCCCAGGAAGGAGCCATCCCTGGAAGCCCCCCTCTCTCTCTGTGCCCCTGAAGGGCCTGTTGGAGCAGAACGGGGCCTGTGTCCCGCCCGCGCAGTGCGCTTGCCTCCACCCCCGCCAGGCAGAAGGGCCCATGTTCGTGGCAGCGGGAGAGGCTGTCCTGATTGGCTGCAAGAAGTGGTGAGTCTGGGGCTTCTCTGGGGGGCAGTGGCTTTGCTCGGGGTGGGTGGGCTGGTTATAAAGGGAAGGGAGCAAATCTCAAAGATTTCTTCTATGTCACAGAGAAGATGGGGCCCCTGGGATGGAGAAGGCTGGGACCTCGCCAGCACTCCCACTGCCCAGCCCTCTACTGCTGCACTGTGCTACCAGGGCAGAAGCATCCAAGAATCCCAGATTTCCCTTTTAAACAACAAAAACAAGTTTCCAGCCCCATCCATCCTACCCAGAGTTGCCTGCAAGATCCAGGGCTTTCCTCAAATGACAGAAGCTGTCTCGCTGGCCCAACGGCATGCCAGTGCAGCGGTGCGGTAGCATCAGACCCCCTGGCCCTGGGCCCCTCTGGTGGCTCCCAGCAACATCCGGGCTCCAGGCCTGCCCAAATCCTACAGCCAATCCTGTGCCTGCTGGTCCCCGAGCAATAGCTTAGCCAGACCTTCTGGCGCATCCAAGAATTTCCCCACCTGCAGGCCCAAAGGGGCTTCAGCTCCCTCCCGGCCACTTCTGCCCTCTGGAGCCAAGGCTGTTTTCTGGACCCACAAACCTGGTTAACTTGATGGAGTTCAGTTCCGTAGGATGCAATGCCTGGCAGCTGGATTAGGGTAGCTGCTACCTTGGCTGGGGATGATGGGAGATTCCATGTGGGATCGCATGGAATGGAAAGAAAGCTTGGCAGATTCACGGTGCACAGAAGGAGCTGTGATCCATGCTGCTGATGGTGAGATCCCATGTTTAGAAGCAGTGTACCTCTGGATGCTCATTGAGCTGGGGGTGGGGGGGTTGGCTTGCTTGGAAGCGTTACAGGAACATCTGACTGACTCTGTTCGGAAGCAGGAGGAGCAATTAAGTGGGTCCTCCTGGGCCTGATTCAGCCACTCTCTCTGAATGTTCCCATGGCTTAGTGGGAAACAGCCACACCACTTCCAGTGTGGCAGACAGCACCTGGCACTCAGAGCATTTGGAGTCCAACTAATGTCAAATGATACCAGGGAAGTTGAGAGTGGGGAGAGACACCCCATGCCCACAACTCTCTCTGCAGCCAGCCTTGGAGGGCCAAAGGGCACTTTACAGATGGCTAACCCACAACCTTATTTTGGCAGCGTGTGCCAGGAGGGAGAGCTGCAATGCAGCAGCGAGGACTGCCAAGGTGAGTGCCTGCTGGTTGGCTGGGAAAATGCCTCCCCCCCCCCCGACATCTGGGATAGACTGCTCCTGACCAAGGAGGACACTTCCTTGGCCAGCGATTCAAGCCATGCAGAGTAGTTGTCTTGCACCCAGGAGGAGGACCAAACTGGGTAAGGCTGGCGCAGATCGTCCTGCGCTACAGCTGGTGATCACCCGGCCTTCTGGAGCCCTTTTTCTCCCGGGGACGGGGCGGGTGCCTGGGGGGGAGCCGGGCCGCCCAGAGCGAGCCCCTTCTCTCCGGGCCCACGCGCCGCCGCTGCTCTTCTCCCGGCAGGGCTGCTTCCGCTGAGCGGCTGGTCGCCGTGGACGCCCTGCTCCGACTGCCTGCCCGCGGCGGCGCTCGGGCCCAGCGCCATCCCTGCC